CAATAAAAAGTTTAAAAGTTGTTTTTTCAACGTAGAACGAATAGCATTGCTTTTTTTAATTAAAATTATGAAAGCTTTTTAAATAAATTCTTTAAAATGTCATATAATTTTATAAAAATTAAAAAAACTACGATTTAAACAAATTATAATTTTGCAATTTTGTATGAAATTATTCAATGTTTTGTATACAGCTACTGTCCTCAAATACAAAATTCTTCATATTCTATGCTTCCATAAATTTTCCAAATTTGCAAATAAAAAAATATATAAAATTAATAAATTAATTTAATTTTGCTGCTTACTTGAATTATTCAAATTTCTTCTTTAATCTGTTATGCATAATTATCAAGGGACTTTGTCAGACTAGAATCTGCAGAAAGAAGAAAGACTTTAACATGTTTCCAGCTCAGCAAAAAAATTTCGATATAGGAAGAATACACTTTTTGCTTATTCCTCTGAGTTCAATGAATTTTTTGACATTTTTCCTGCATGAATACCACACCATTCATCCCACTTTAATATTTGACCTTTAACACTTTTTCTGATTACTATTATTAACTCTGTATAAATTTGAACAAGATAAAAGGTAATATGCAATTTTTAGAAAGGATAATTTCAGTGTTTAAATGGATTTGACGCAAAATCCAAACGATACCGAATGCATATGCTCGGATTTGCAGCATCAAGACTATTCATTTTCATATGCCTGGCATGTTATTTTGCGTTTTACAACGTTTTTTAGTTAGATTTCTGTGGCTGAAGAGCAATTTGCATTTTTCATTCTTTATATGCTCATTTGACCTTTTGCTTGATTTCATTAATCTCAATCTACAGCTTACTTCCTTTTATTCACAATGTTTTCAACTTTAACCTCTAATAATAAATTCTATTTTTATTAAGTTCAAAATTTCCAGGTTTAATTATATTACAATTATTATCTTACTACCATCAATATCAGTATTTGGTGTTGTATCAAATATTGTCAATATTTTTATCTATTCTCGAAAAAGGTTCGTAAAAAAATGTTGAAAAAAGTTATATAAAAAATGTGTATATTTTTCAAATATTTTGTTGAAAGAAAAAAAGCACACTTTTAGTTTTGAATTTTGTTTGCAAGTTTTTATAGAATGCGCTGTTCATCCAATACCTATTTGTTATTTCTTTCATGCAGTGATTTTCTGGTTATTTTATCAGGTCTGTTCATTTTCTGGATTGACTCTGCTAGGTAAGTTAACCCTTAAATGGTCAAGCTACTTTAATTCTTAGCTGGAAGAAAAATTATGAAAAATTGAATTTGATAAAAATGTCTGGTAGTAACTTTTTTACGATCACAAATGTAAACTTCTGAAGAACTGTTACTGCAATCTTAAACAATCATTTTTGGCGCTAACTTTAAATTTATATTTAAAACAAAGCAATTAATGATTAAATTTCAGATCATATATTCCAGAATTATCCCGTGCACCTTATACAACTGTTTACGTTTTACCATTTGGATATATGGCACAAACATGCAGCATTTATTTCACCGTTGCTGCTGCGGTTGATTGTTATGTTAATGTAATCTATTTTGGACTTACCGAAAAAACATCTCACTAATTTTGTTAATATTTTATTTTATTACTATAAAACTGTTTTAACTTTCTATGGATGTGCGCTCAATTTTAAGATTTGCTGGAAGAATTTAAGCACAAATTATTGTACGATTAGTCGAGCGCGAACCATAAATACTTATATTATAATTAGCTCAATAATTTACAACTCATTGCGCTTTCCACAATTCAACTTGAGAAATTGCTTACACAGTGGTTCAAAGGTTAATTGAATTATTTTTGCTATTTATGTATTTCAAAAATATTTCTCAGTAAATAAAAACTTAACAGTTGTGGCAATAGATAAAGACTTTTGGTGACTTCTAATGTCATTAGTTCAAAATGGAGATATTAAGTAAGTTCGTTATTTGAATACGAATTTTCCAGCTCATTTAAATTCAGTTTATTTATTTTGTTTAAGCACACTTTTTTTTCTTATCCTTTACGATATTCTCTGATATTATTTTTCTGAATATAATACATATTTCAGGAAATAATCGTCGAAATTTGCCCCACAGCATTGTTTTTTGCAGTGAACACAATTTACAATGTTTATATGTATATGGTATTGATGACCTTATTACCTTTCTTTTTTTTATCAGTTTTGAATACAATTATTGTATTTTCATCGAAATCGCAGGAAATTAGCAAGTAAAATTTTTCAACAAAATTTTTGCTTTATTCTCGTTCAAAGATATAATCTGCATAATATATATTAGTTTAAAAACAAGCATTATGCAATTTACATATTCATTCAAGTAATTGCTGGCATTAATCGAGCATAATAGTTAAGAATTGAGTTTTAATTAATTATTAGATTATCAAAATTATCTTAAAATTTATACTTTCACTGTAAATATGTGAGCCTTGTTAACTTTTGTTGATTTTTTTTACATTAATCAGATATTTTTATTTATTCGTTTTGAACTTATTTATCATGCTTAGATCCAATTTTGCTTAATGCATACTTTTAAATCATAAATTTTCTCAACTATGTCAGCACTACTCTCGCAATTCATTTCTTTACTAAATTACAATTTGATTAGGCTATTTCATTCAAATTACCATGTTATTACTTTGATTTATTAAATTTTAATTTTATTCCTTCTACATTTTTCCCACTCTAAATCAAATATTAATATAATTCTTAATCAAATGAAGTAAGATGCAAAGTGCAGTATTAAAATTTTAGTAGTTGAATTTATTTATCAATTAATACTTACTTCTTGCAAGCACTAAATCCATTTTCTCTCATATGATAATATTTTCTGAATATCTTTTTTAATAAACCAAATTTAGTAAAAAATGCAAAAAGATAAGAAATATGACGTTTTAGAATATCAGCATCGAATTCGATGGATCAACCAAAAGATAACTTCACACAAATCACTTCTTCAGGTAGTTGCATTTTCAATCAGAATTTAGTGTGTTTGTAAAAATGAAAACTTTGTATTCATTGTATAATTCTGATAATTAGAATCATATCAAATTTTAAATGATCAGATCAATCAGTTTCAGTAAAAGCTACAGTTTGTCAGTCTTCTCGTGCAATAATACCTGCAATTAGGAGAGACGAAATCGCAAATGATACATCAGACAACACTATCACTATGATTATGGTTGTTATCTTATTCTTAAGCTGCAATACATTGGTATGATTATAAGCAATTTTTTAGTAAGAAATTGAAGCAAGTTAACTTATAGCATTTTTAGCAGAAAAGCATTAAATAGTTTCAAAAGAAAGTACTCATTTATTTGATAATCCTTTTACGCTTAAGCTAATGTCTAGAAATTAAAAATCAAGTCCTTGGAGTATGTTCAATTCGAGAGAAAATTAATCTGAATTGCATTTTCTTCCACATAGTTGTTGAATTTAGATTCAAGACCATTTTTAATTTTATACCATCAATGCAGTCCAAAGAAATCGCAATAAAAACATTAATTCTAATTATTTCATTAAAAAAAGCCTTAAGTTTAAAATTACAATTAATTTAGTCATTTTTATTTTAACTTTTTGCAATTAGTGACAGTCCACACAACATAATAACTTCAAAAACTATCACATTTTTTATCAATTTAAAAG